CTCTAGAGTCTTCTTCAAGGAGGATTCCAAAATCATTCCAAAAGCAACTCCCATTAGTCCAAAGAGTGAAAGAGAGAAGATTCCCACGGTTAGTAGTAGATTCAATCTCATCATCACATTACGGTGGCTGTCCAGATTGATGAAAATAATACTACGTGAATCATCAATCAGTACCCTAAGCTCCCAAACTGCATTGGAGAGATCGTCTGCCAATAGGTAGTAGTTTTCCAACAGCAGGTCCATCTCTTCTGTGTTAGGGACAAGCTGCCCCAGGACTCGCCCTGCAAGATGCAGCCGACCCTTACCCTGAATACTCTGCAGCTGCATTCCTGAACCCTTATCTAGGCGCTCCAGCAGGGTCACCAGACTTGCTCACAGCCCTCTGGGTGGCACGGGAGAGGTCACAAGAAACGTGGACAAACCTAAGTAACACCCTCTTGTAAATTCCCATTTTCACAAGATAATATATTGTAAGCCGGTCATGAGATGATATTTGGTAAAGTTAACTGACGAATAACCCCAGGGTCTCTCTCCCCCGTATAAAACCCTCATTTTGTAAGCTCAGGGCTGCCTCTTCTGACTGTGGCCGGGCAGCCCGGCAGGTTAATAAACTTCCTCGCCTGACCTTGGGTCTGTCTCTCGTCTTTTCTCTCGGCTACCCTTACATTCTGCATGGTGAATCCCAGGGCTGCTCTTTTCAAAGACACGTGGGGCACTCATTTTGATAGACAGAGCTCTTCCAGTAACTTTTCCTCATCCAGGATCTCCAAAATTGAGTCTTGGAAAAATTTAATATCTGTTTCTAACTCTGATAGACTTTTGTCATTCTATAGTAAAATATGCAGTTTGCTTCTGTCCACAGAAGAATGTTTGGAGTCCACCAAAGCTTCTAAGGTCTCAGGGGTCAGTGTCTGCAAAACGTTACGTTTCCTCTAAAGTGTGTTGATCCGGTATTGCAGGGTGCTTCCATGGCACTAAACTCAAAAGGTAAAGGGTATGTAACAGGTTGACCCTTCCGGACAACTGTGAAGGGAGTTCCCGGAACAGCCATTGCTCTGAGTTTGTTACCATCATCTAATATCAGGAGACACTCTGGAGTTATCACAGCTTTCAAATACTCCATTGTCATGATAAACCTATTGCTTTTGGTTGTGATACTCATTACATGCTGAAATCTCAAATCTCTGTCTTGAAGACTTAACTCTTGGTGTAAGTCCATTTTCTTCCTTTCAAAAGAAGTAACATTTCCCTGTTTGTCAAATTTTGTTGCAGTAAATACTGGGGCTACGTTGGCTAAAGTGGCTTAAGAGACATCAGAAGTTCTAAACCAGTGCATTTCACCTGCCACATATAGCTGACGGGCCCACACAGGTCAGATCCAAGGCCAGGGAAGTCCCACTGCATGGGGCAGGAGGCAGGGCAAGCTCTGCAGGCATTCATGGCGCTATAGCTAGGAGCAGGCGGCAGCCAGACCCCAGGCCTTCATGGCGGACTGTGGCGACTCAGTCTGCAGTGCTCGCCTAGCGCTCTTCTGCTCATTTTCTATGTTTTATTTTCTAAACAGTTTTTTCACTGTTCACTTTTGAGAATTTTTTATATATTCTAGACACAAGTCCTTAGTCAGATGTGTGGCTTGCAAATATTTTCTCCCAGTCTGTGACTAGCTTGCCTTTTCATCTTAACAGGGCTTCTGCTGAGCAAAAGCTTTTAATTTTGATGAGGTCTAATTGATTAATTTCACCTTTTATGGATTGTGCTTTTTGTGTCAAGTGTAGGAACACTTTGCCTAGCCCTGGAGCTAGATTTTCTCCTGTGTTTGTCTTGGAAAGGGGAAGAGTCAATTGACTAAAGCAATGTAGGGTATCTGGGCAGAACTGAGGGGTCACTAAGGGCAAAGGAATGGGAGAGGGAGAAGGCTTCAAGGTTATTTCTGGTCTCTGGAGAGGGCACTATGGGTAGCAGCTCCTTCCCCTTCTAGCTTGAGTTACATGGGCAGAGCAGATGGTCCTCTTGGCAATATGACGGGAGGCTTAGGTTTCTTCCTCCCCCACAATACTCACGGACCCTGAATAAATTGTCTAGTCCTTTGATTCACTCAGAGCTTTATTCACAATCACATGTTTTCACTACATTGTCATGACTGACTTCTTACAACAGCTCTGTAGGGAGGACATATTATTATCCCCTTTTACAGAAGATACAACTGAGGCCAGAGAAGGGATGGGACTGAACACAAATCTCCTGATACGGAGAGGAATGATCGTTCTTCTCTACCAGCTGAATCTTGAATTCCGCCACCAGTTATTTCGTGAGGTCAATGGTTCTCAAAAGATGATCCACGGGCCCCTAGGGATCCCGAAGACCTTTTCAGAGGGTCCTCAAGGTCAAAGCTATTTCCCCAATAATGCAAAAACATTGCCTTTTCTCCATGCCTTTTCTCCGTAAGTGAAAATTCTCCATTTTCACTTATGATGCCAAAGTAAAGACAGGTAAAAAAACTGCCTTAGCATGAATTGAGGCAGTAGCACTGATTCTTCATCCCCTCAATCACTCACATGAGAGATAATAGCCAGTTTCACACTGATTTCTTAATAAATGGGAAGTCCACAAAAAGTATTTCTGCTGCATACCAAAATAAAATGGTTGTCTTGAGGAACAAGTACTTCTCCAATTATTTAAGTTGCAAGCGGAACTATTCCTCTTTTTTTTTTTTTTTGCATGCAATACAAGTTTTACTTGAGATAAGGTCTGACAAACAATACTTATTTAGGTTTGGGTATTTGGCAGGCATTTTCTTAACAAATGAACAAAGTGAGCCTGTCACATCAAGGAACGCCACTGACTGTCACCAATGACAACATTTGAGCTTTCAAGTGAAAATTAGAATTTTTGAGAAAAAAATTTTATTTGCCACTATACACTTGATAGCTTTCTAATACTTAAAGATGTTTCTGAGAATATCAGTGGTCATATTCATACATGTGATTTTTTTTTGCTACTGCATAAAGAAATATGCTTCCAGACCAGGTGCGGTGGCTCACACCTGTAATCCCAACACATTGGGAGGCCGAGGTGGGTGGATCACAGGTCAGGACTTCAAGACCAGCCTGGCCAAGATGATGAAACCCCATCTCTACGGAAAATACAAAAAATTAACCTGGTGTGATGGTGGGTGCCTATAATCCCAGGTACCTAGGAGGCTGAGGCACAAGAATTGCTTGAACCCGGGAGGCTGAGGTTGCAGTGAGTTGAGATCGTGCCACTGCATTCTAGCCTGGCTGACAGAGCAAGACTCCTTCTCAAAAAAAAAAAAAAAAAAAAAAAAAAGGAAACAACAGACACTGGGGAATTCAAGGCGAGACAGAGGGAGGCAGTAAGGATTGAAAAAAGCTACTTATTGGGTACAATGCTCACTACCTGGGTGACAAATTCATTTCTACTCCAAACCTCAGCATCATGCATAGGTACCTCATGCAATATACCTATGTAACAAACCTGCGTATGTACTCCATAATATAAAAGTTGAAAAAATTTCCTCCATTCTAATTTCTACTACTGCAAAGATCGATTTGTACGACCTGTATAAACAAAAGCTCTTTTAGAGCCTCAGTAATTTTCACCAATGTGAGGGGACAAAAATGTTGGAGAACTCTTTGCTAAAGCACTGAAGTCTCCTATCAGCCACTGTGACCAAGTGAGGCATTATCCAGCATTAGCATACTTTCTCAGATTATTCACCCACCCTAGGCTTCCATGTGACCCTGAAATAAGGGACTTGACTTCCAAGTTTGGCCGAAGATGCTATCGGGGAATCCAGGATTCTGATTATGGTAACATACCCTTCCCACCTCTTTTTCCTGTTCTTCCTCCTAATGGAAAGAACATGGGCTATGAAGCAAGCAGACCTCGATCTCAGCCTCAGCCCTACATAAAGTAAGAAATAGTAATGCCTATCTTTCCTTAGCAGGATTGTTTTGAGGATTAAATAAAGTCATGAAGACAAATCTGTAAAGTGCTTACAAATGGAAGTTACGATCATTTTCTTTCTTTCTTTTTTTTTTTTTTAACTTTGAACCCGGAGAGGCTAATGAAGTTATGATGATTTTCTAACAAGGGAAGTTCATTCACATTTATGGTCTATTGATGTGGTGTTTCAAAAAACATGTCCCAAAGAGGTCTTGCATGTAAAGATAATAGTGCTAGTGCACAGTTTCAGCTTGCAAGGAGCTGTCAGTTGCAGAGTAAGATGAGAGTAAACATTCACATGACAGTGTAATGCAGTTGATCTTCAAACTCTTAACTGAAATTTCCCCCAAGCACCCACTCATGCTTCTTGCTGCCTGTGACTCCTTCCTCGTTCAGACAACTGAACAAGTTGCCCCTGTGCCTCAGTGAAGGGATGATATAGAAGAATTAGAGAAAAAGTTTTCAAGTGTCTTGTTAAAAGTTTGTTGTCCCTGGCCAGGCGTGGTGGCCCACACCTGTAATCCCAGAACTTTGGGAGGCTGAGGTGGGTGGATCACAAGGTCAGGAGTTCAAGACCAGCCTGGCCGATGTGGTGAAACCCCTTCTCTACTAAAAATACAAAAATTAGCTGAGCGTGGTGGAATGCACCTGTAATCCCAGCTACTCGGGAGGCTGAGGCAGGAGAATTGCTTGAACCCGGGAAGCAGAGGTTGCAGTGAGCTGAGACCATGCCATTGCACTCCAGCCTGGGCAACAGAGTGAGATACCACCTAACAAAAAAAAGAGAAAGAGAGAAAGAAGAAAGAATGAAAGAAAGAAGAAAGAAAGAGAGAGAGAGAAAGAAAGAAAGAAAGAAAGAAGGAAAGAAAGAAAGAAAGAAAGAAAGAAAGAAGAAAAGAAAGAAAGAAAGAAAGAAGAAAAGAAAGAAAGAAGAAAGAAAGAAAGAAAGAAAGAAAGAAAGAAAGAAAGAAGAAAGGAAGGAGGGAAGGAAGGAAAGGAAGGAAGAAAGGAAGAGGGTCCAATCCAGGAAGAAAGGAAGAAAGGAAGGAAGAAAGGAAGGAAGGAAGGAAGGAAGGAAGGAAGGAAGGAAGGAAGGAAGAGCTTGTCACAGATGAGATCTGCAGTTGAGGAAAAAGCTTGTCCCAGATGAGATCTGCAGTTGCGATATTACAAGGTGAGACAGGGTAAAGTTTCACTTTCTTCCTCTGAGACTAGAAAAGAGTCTTTACAGGAACTCTGAAGGGTCAATGTCAGTGGGATGGGGGGGAGACCAAAATGAAGGGTCCGAGCCTAGAGAAACCATGTAGAGCAGAGCTGTGCTGAATCAGTCTTCATAGATCTGCCTGTCTTCCATCCCAGCAAACAGAGTCCAATGTCAGAACCAGAGGGTTCCCTGAAAACTTGATTAGCACCTGCAGCCTGTGCCATTTCTATACTTCTGAGCAATGCACTTTGCCTATGCTGGGGAGCTACAGTGCACATTTTCTCCTTGGTATCTGACCTCATTTGCAACCAGCATGCTGCCCTCTGATAATTAGCAAAAGTGGTGCCCATGTGTGCCTGCAAGGTTCTGCTCAATCACATTCTGACTAATCTTGCACAGACAACCTTCTTTTAATGGCCCGAGTCCCTGAGTAATTAAAGGGTGGAAGGAAGAGCCTCACAGGCTGTACTCGGTTGATACCAAATGGAACCAGCCCCAGATCTTCCCCTGTCACCAGTGAGGTAAACGCTCAAATAGATACAAGAGCAGGGAGCAGGAAGAGTATATAGGAAGTGACTGGTTCTTCTTGGTCTTCCTGGGCAGGAACAAGTGGGAAGAAGGCCAGGGAAGGCTTAAGAAAAGACGTAACATTTGAACTGAGCATGGGTGCTGGGTCGATGATAATGAGTCATGGGTGTCTCCACAGAACTCAGAGGGTCCAATCCAGGAAGAAGCTGTTTCCTGGGAAAGAGGAGCATGTGAAGAAGGCATCACTATGAACCTGAAGTCCAGTGGGGATCCAGCAGACACCAATCCTTCTGGAGAAAATGTTGGATGGCTTTGTTCAGAGCATAATGATTACCCCATATACCTGCATATCCTGCCATCAACAAACTGCTTGATACTCCCTGCACTAGGATCTGGGATGGGTGAGGGGCTATGCAGCAGTAGAGGCTCCAATTTATGTATTGAGTATCTAATATATGTCAGGCACTGTGCTCAGCATTTATATTTATGTCAGAATTAGCCCATTTCATCCCACAATGTGGTATATTAATCCCCAATTTACAGATGAAAAGACTGAGGCTCAAGTTCCTACAACTAGTTAAATGGTAGAAATGAGATTGGGACCCATGTTTATATTCTACCTTGATTTCCAGCTTGAGCAGCTTAGAGTTTTGTTGGGTAATTAAGGAATACATGCTTGAAAAAGCAAATAATAATACAAGAGGGTGCCTTCTATTGTCCTCCACAGGTACTTGTGCTTATGAAGCAGCCTCATTGTCTGAGGTGATACCCGAGGTTCATTGTCTGATGCTCAAGGAAATCAAGGATGAAGACACACAAGGAGTGAGGTTAAAAACAGAGGTTTAACAGGCAAAAGAAAGAGAAGAGCTTCCTCCTGCAGAGAGAGGGGTCCCAAACAAGTTTCTGCTTCCACGGTGAAATGCAGGGGGTTTTATAGATGAGCTGGTTAAGGGTAGGTGTGCCATTTGCAGAGATCATGGATTTTTGGCTGTCCTCACCCTAATTTTTTACTATGCAGATGGATTCTTTGCCTGACAGGTGCTGTGTTGCTTGTTTCTTTACTGTACACGTGGTAACAAAGTAAAGGGAAGATAGAGCCTCCATATTGGACATGCCTGGCACCCAGGTAGCCCTTTTCTATTGGCACAGCTGCCAGCACTCACCCGTGTAAGCGTCCATGTTGCTTATCTATGTTTGCAGCTCAATTTTTCAGGCTGCTCTTTGTTAGAAAAAAATAATTTTGGGGGCTGCTTTTGTTCAAAGGGAAACCTTGCCAAGGACTCTTTGACCCTCACTATCTGCCTAAATAATTTCTTTCTATGTCCTGTAACACTTATATCTATCTGAAAGTCCCACCTCCAACTTGGATCCTAAGCCTGTCCACTTCTCTAAATTTCCACTGTCATCTACCCCAAGGCACCCCAGCTCTCATCTGGATGAAGCACTGGGGTTGAGACTGAGTACAGGTAAAGTCTTGACAGAAAGAAGTGGGGTCCCCACAGTCAGGTTTTTTACAATCAGGGTGTAGTAGGCAGAGGTCCATGAGCTGTCTCCTGACATCTGCTTATCCTTCTGCTCTAATAGATTCTCTGGTTGGCAGCTGGGTAAATAGATGCCCAGAATAAAGGCTACATTTCCCAGCCAACTTTTCAGCTGCATGTGGTCTTGTGGCTGGGTTTGGGCCAATTGGATTTGAGTGAAAGTGACAAAGGCAACTTTTGGCTCCAGCCCTTAAGGGAAAAGGGTCTGACTACCCTCCCCATACCCCCTCACCCCCATCCCTTCCACTGGCAGGAATGAGGACATTGAGGTGAGCTCTTTCAGACCTTATGAATAAGGTGACACATGGGGAATGGCAAAATGAAAGTTTCATGTGAGAGGAAAATAAACTTGTTTTGTCTTTTGGAGTTTTTCTTATATGTGTATCCTAATAAATATAAGGGAAGAAAAATATTGAACAAATCGTCACTCAAGTATACTAAGTACAAATTATAATAAATGCAATGAAAGAAACACGCATAGAGTTTTCCTGAGAATATAGCAGGGGAGGACTGGTTTCCAATTATCAGTCAAGGAAGGCTTCTCTGAGGAAGGGACATTTAAGCTGGGGTTTACTGGATGAGTAGAATTTAGTCAGATGAAATAGGCCAGGAAACAGTGCCTGTGAAGATTCTAAGGCCATAGAATTTGGTCACTGGTGGGAACCCAAGAAGGGCCCTATGAGCAGAGCTCCACAGCAAATTTTTAATCAGTTTTCAATTGCACAAGTGTCTCCCCGACTGATGGGTGCTTCAGCCTGGGCCCCCCAGAACCTAGACTTGAGACAGCAAAGCTCATTCCAGATACGTTGAGGGATGAGTCAGGTACCTCTCGATGGATCTGGAGGACAGAGGCAAAATCAGAGAAGCTGAATCTGTAGTGGAGTCCCAGGATCAAGTGTGGGCCTGGGAAAGAGGGGAAAGCAGGGGGCTGGAACCAAAGAGACCCAGGAGTGGATCAGGAGGTGCAGAGCCAGGCAGGTGTGGAAGCTGCAGCTGGGAGGTTTCAGACATAACCAGGCTGGTTGTCTGGGGCTACTTTTTACTGGGGTTTTGTTGTGTGCAAGTGGCTCACAGTTTCCTTGCCATCTCTGATGTGTGTCAGGCACAGTGGCAAATGCTCTCCATGCAGAATCTTGCCTCATCCTCACACACTGAGTTTATGCAGTGGGTGTAATCCCCATTTTACAAATGAAGACACTGAGACTCAGAGAGGGCCAGAGTTGTCCAGAGTCACCAAGTGGGTGAAACCGGGCTGAAGGGGTGGAGCTTGTGGGTGGGGAGGGTTTGTGTGACCCCCTAATCCCTGACCCAAGGCCATATGGGGAAACACAACACATTCAACCTTTCCAGGGGACCGCGTGGGTGGGGATTGCATGCTTTTGGCCTGGTGGTGTCTCTTGCCCTCACACCACAACAATTATCAACACAGATGGACTTCTGTGACCAAATGTCATCCTCATCACCAAGTGAGCAATCAATTTGGCAGCAGAAACTAGCCAGGTATCCTCTGATTCAATTCTGACACTATTTACCTAGAGATGGCATCAGATCCCACAAGATGAGGGCTCAGTCTCTAAGAATGCCCCTGCCCCTTAGTTCAGACACCAGTCGTAAGTCCCAGCTTCTGCAGCTGCTGACTGACTGGCTTCAAGTTGGGGTTCCTGCATCCCCTCTTTGGGTTTGATTATTTGCTAGAGCAGCTCACAGAACTCAGTAAAACACTTAACGTTTACCAGTTTACTATAAAGGCCATCACAACGGATGCAGATGAAGAGATGTGTAGGGCTGAAGCGGCGTTGTTGTCTGGGGTGATATCTGAGCTTCACTGCCTCATGCCAAGGGAATCAAGGATGTGGACACACAGGAGTGAGTTTAAGAGTGGAGGTTTAATAGAGAGAAAGAGAAAAGCTCTTTCCCCTGCAGAGAGAGAGAGGCTCCCACGTGGATCTTCTGGCTTTGTGGTTAAATGCACAGGGTTTTATAGATAAGCTTAAGGAGGCGGTGTCTGATTTATGTAGGGCCCAAAAGATTGGTCAGACCAGGTGTGCCATTTACGTGAAGAAGTTGGCCACCCCACCCTAATCTTTATTATGGCTATGGGCTCTCTACCTGGTCAACACAATGTTGTCTGTTCCTTACTGTACATGTGGTTGACAAAGAAAAGGGAAGATGAAGCCTCCATGTTGAACATGCCTGGCCACCAGGTGGCCTTTTCTTACTGGCACAGCTGCTGGCATTTACCTGTGCAAGCTTCTAGCTTGCTTTTCTATGTCTGCAGCTTTATTTTTCAGGCTGCTTTTTGTTAGAAAAGAAATGATTTAGGGCCTGCTTTTTGTTAAAAAGGAAGCCTTACCAAGGGCTCTATTACCCTCACTAACTGCCTAAATAATTTATTTTTAGCTCCTGTATCAAAGCGAGGTGTGAGGGAAGGAGCTCAGAGCTGCCATGGCCTCCCAGTGAGCCACCCTCCAGGAGCCCTCATGTTCCTCTTGGGTTTCTAAGGAGGCTTCATTACATAGGCATGATTGATTAAACCATTAGCCATTGGTGGTCAACTTGACCTTCAGCCCTGCCTGCTCCCAGGAGATTGGGGGGTGTGGCTGAGAGCCCAACCCTCTAACCATGCCTTGGTCTTTCCCTAAAGCTATCAGTCAACACTAGCATACAAAAAGACAGTACTTTGGAGATTCCAAGGATTTTAGGAGTTGTATGCTAGGAAAGGGGACCAAATAATATTTCACAGAATCACACCTGGCAACAAAAGATGGCCCATCCACAGCACTGTTTAGTTTCATTGGCCAATGATTTGAAAAACTCTTAGACGTACCAAAATTGTTAGAAATACCAAAATTGTTAGAAATAAATAATCAGTGCCATGAAGAATAGCCAGCACGGAGACAAAATATTTCTCAGCAAGGCAATCTTTACTTTCTGCTAAAAGGGTGCTCAGTCACAGATGGAACAATGGTGAGAGCACACCTGAACAAAGGAAAAGCAGACATATTTATCCCTTATGAATTTGGGTCATCCTTACTGCTCTGTCCTGCATCCATTGGCTGGAGCGGGACCTCACAGTCTTAAACCGATATCTGATTTGCTAATAGTCTAAAACTTTCCTAAATAGGTAAGTGCAGGGAAGAACAAAGGATAGGAAGTTGCTTACAAAAGGTTTAAGGAAGGAATAACATTTCCAAATAAGGAAGGGGCATAAGCTATGAGCTGGAATGTGCCTGTGAGCATGTCCAACAGTTATACAGGATAGGGCTTAACAAAGAGTTATTAGCACAAAGCAAGGAGGCTTGAAGAAAATTAGTCTTTATTATTTTTAACACTTATGATTTATTATTTAACAAGAAGGGAAACTTTGAAGAGGAAACTTTTTACTTTCTACAATTCCCTCCTCTTTTACTTTATAGTTTTCCTCTTCAAACTTGCTTAACATGTCTTGGCTTAGTTGTTTTGATTAACTCCTGGATGTATGGGTACAACATAACCTAAGAAGAAGGAGTAGATTTATAGTTGTTAAAAAGGTAAGAATTGAGGCCACATTTTTTTTTCTTTTTTCTTTTTCTTCTTTTTCTGTTGATGAAATGCCAGGGTAAAAGGGACAGTCAATTGAACTAGAGCATAAGTACTGCCCTAACTATTTGGCAGAGTGTCCAGTAAAGGTTCTCCATGATACCACCTTACATCAACTCAGGGATGAATAAGGGCAGACTGATGGGTCAGCTCTTGGAAGTGCTTGCCTTCATCCTGTTAAGTCTCCAAGGAATGCCAAATATTTCCCCTTGTCGTTGGAGACATGAGGTAAAATTGGTTTTGGAAGATGGAGGCCGGATGGTCCTTGGGGGCTGACCCGCAGGGTGTTGAACTTCAGGGGAAATAGCAGAGAAAAAGCTTGGCACAATTCGTTATTCCAGGTAGTAGAATCTTGGAAAAGAGCTACCATGCACTCCATGTCCACTTGATCTGAGGACCATCCTAGTAGAAAGAGGACAACCTGGGCCTCTGGCCTACCATGCGCACAAGCATAACAGTTGCCTTTGTTTAAAGTGCGAATGGAATATTTAATCCATTCTAACCAGGCATTTACATCTTTATACCCTGTTTCAATGGCTATGGTTTGCCTTAGGTCTCCTATTTCTATTACTGAGACCTTTTGTAATTTGGCATGAGGCAAGGCATAGTTTGATTTCATAGGTTTGGGAAAGGGACAGTTGTAGGAGGTGGAGGAGAGAGAACGAAGTGCATCTTAAGGAAGCCTATAGGATCCTTTCCAGTGTCCTCTGCCCCTAAACCATAGCAACACTCTAAAGTGGGGTTAGAGTTGCTAGTGGTAGGAATAGTAATGGATGAAAGCACTGGGTAAGGAAAGGAAAGGAAAAGACAGATAGACTAAGCTTTTCTTAGCTTTAATTTGGTAGGGCTTGATCCAGGAACAATGGCCCATGATTCTGATGATAATGGCATTTGCTTGACTCAGGTGTGATGTGTCCATCCCTTTTCCATTGTACAAATAACAGTCTCAGTGGTTAGCAGCACAAGGTAGGGTCCTTCCCAGGCTGGCTCGAGTTTCCCTTCTTTCCACCCTTTGATGAGAATGTGATCCTCAGGCCAGTGCTGCTTTACCGGAAATTCTAGGGGTGGTACCTGTGCTAAAAAGATTTTTAGTTTTGAGGGAAAGGAAAGTGGAAGATAAATCAAGTATATAATTTCTGAGAAACTGATCTTTTGTTTTAAATGTGGGGACATCAGCAGTGGACTTTATAGTACTTAGTGCCTTCTTTCCTTACACATCTTGCACATAAACTGTTCAATAATTTTACATTCAGGAGGCCTAATTACTTTTAAATTATACAACATTTCCAGCATAAATTCCCTTTTACAACTTCTATCACAGACAATTCTTCGACATGTCTCAATTTTCTGACTTGTAAACATCCCTTTCTTTAAACAACCAGTTAATTTATTTTAGGACAAGAATTTACCATATAACATTCTTTTTACATAAGTCTCTGCTTTTTTTTTTTTTCCCAAAGATGATAATCATTCCTTAGAAAAGTGAACTTCCTTCATGTCTGTGGACTAGACTGCCTAAAGCCACAAAATTAGAAGTTAACGTGTTACACTGTTAACTTTTAGCAAACGTTACTTTTGTTGAAAACCTTGTAAGTTTGGGATTTTGATTATTCTTTGCTATTAATAAGACCTCGTTCAGTCCAAATCAACTTAGAATTGATATAGATGACTCCTTCCTGATTCTGTAAGTACTTTAAGGCTTGGCTGAAAGTAAACAGCTTACACATTTGAGCAGACCAATTATTAGGCAATTTTCCTAACTCTACTTCTACAAGAGTCCCTATCACTTACTGAATACCCATTGTAGCTTTTTCCCTCAATCACCCCGGAGGAACCATCTATTGTCCTGTCCCGAAGGGAGTTCCTCCTAGGTCTGGACCTTCGTAGAGTAAGATTTAGATCCCCTGCTGGGTTAAGGGAATTATCAGTGGTTAATGTTAAGTCATCTTTTTTCTAACAGAATAGCCTCATACTTTAAGGTTCTTGAGTCAGTAAGCTATCTTTCTGCTTTTTTTTTTTTTTTTTTTTTGACTTAGGATAGTTTTGAGCTGGTGAGGTGTGCTCACAATGAGGTTTCCTTTAAAAGTTATTTTTCTACTTTATTCTGTTAGCAAAGCAGTTGCCACTACAGACTGAATACATTTGGGCCATCCACGGGTTACTGGGTTAAGGATTTTTTATTAGGAAGGCTACGTATTGTCAGTGGCCTCAGTGCTTTCTGGCTACGTCCTTGTTTACACTGACAAGGTGGAATGGTTGCTCAAGGAGGGTAAAGCTAGGACAGGGGCAGTTACTAACAGATGTTTTAAACTTTCCACCTGCTGGATTTCTGGTAATTGCCAAATGAGGGGGTTTGGCCTGTCTTGTGTGAGGTGTTTGTATAAGGGTTTTGTTTTTAGGGCGTAAGAGTCTACCTTCCAACTAATCCTAAAATTTTCTAAGTTCTTGTTTAGTCTCTGGCAGAGGCAAGAATTGAGCTTTCAATCCGTTCAAGCTCAATTTTCCATTTACCTTTGCTAATTAAATGACTTGTTCAAATATTTGACTAAATAAATTTGGAGACTCCGTAAACCCTTGGGCTAAGACTATTGGTATTACTACTTTCGGTGGGAGCGAGGGTCTTCTCACTCGCAAATAGATTCTGGCTGTCCTCTGTTAACGGACAAGCCCAAAAGGCATCTTTTAAATCTATTACCGTAACAACAGGTTGGGTAGTTTGGACTATCTGATTAATAGCTCTAAGGTCTTGCACTAACTGGTGTGACTCATCTGGCTTCTTTACGGGCAGTATTGGAGTGTTAAAGGGTCACGGAGAAAACCTTCAATTATCAATTATAGGTTCAAAATTTACCCTGGCTTTTAAAGGAATAGGGTACACTGTTTTCTCTTTACTACTTCTCTCTCTCTCTCTCTCTCTCTGACTTCCTCTCCCAGTTTCTCTTTCCTCTCTGCTGGTCTTTCCCTTGCCTCTGCTAGCCACTTACGCGGCTGTTCTCCCCTGTCCTTCCCCTTCCCCTAGGGGAGGGACCAGCAGGAGTGGAGCTTAGCCTCTTTCTTCCCCCGAGAAGAAGGGAAAAGGGGACTCCTGAATATTTTTCTCACTATCACAGGTTTGTGTGAGGTTCTGAGAGACAGGACTAGCTGAATTTCCTAGACTGACTAAGAATTCCTGGCCTGGTGCGGTGGCTCAAGCCTATAATCCCAGCACTTTGGGAAGCCGAGGCGGGCGGATCACGAGGTCAGGAGATTGAGACCATCCTGGCTAACACAGTGAAACCCTGTCTCTACTAAAAAAATACAAAAAACTAGCCGGGCGAGGTGGCGGGCACCTGTAGTCCCAGCTACTCAGGAGGCTGAGGCAGGAGAATGGCGTGAACCTGGGAGGCGGAGCTTGCAGTGAGCCGAGATCCGGCCACTGCACTCCAGCCTGGGCAACAGAGCGAGACTCCGTCTCAAAAAATAAAAATAAAAGTAAACAAAACAAAACAAAAAAAAGAATTCCTAAGCTTAGCTGGGGAAGGTGACCACACCCACCTTTAAAACATGGGGCTTGTAACTCAGCTCACACCTGACCAATCAGGTAGTAAAGAGAACTCACTAAAATACCAATTAGGTTAAAAGCAGGAGGTAAAGAAATAGTCAATCATCTATCGCCTGAGAGCACAGGGGGAGGGACAGTAATTGGGATATAAATGCAGGCATTCGAGCCAGCAGTGGCAAACTACTTTGGTTCTCCTCCAGTTGAATGGGAGCTCTGTTTTCACTCTATTAAATCTTGCAACTGCACACTCTTCTGGTCCATGTTTGTTCCGGCTCGAGCTCAGCTTTTGCTTGCCGTCCACCACTGGTAAATGCTGCCGTCGCAGACCCGCCATAGACTTCACCCCTCAGGATCTGGCAGGGTTTCTGCTGTGTTTCTGACTGGTGAGGTGCCCATTGCCGCTCCCGTTTGGGCTAAAGGCTTGCCATTGTTCCTTCATGGCTAAGTGCCCAGGTTCATCCTAATCGAGCTGAACACTAGTCGCTGGTTTCCATGGTTCTCTTCCATGACCCATGGCTTCTAATAGAGCTATAACACTCACCACATGGCCCAAGGTTCCATTCCTTGGAATTTGTGAAGCCAAGAACCCCAGGTCAGAGAATAAAAGGCTTGCTGCCATCTTGGGAGCAGCCACCACCATCTTGGGAGCTCTGAGAACAAAGACCCACCTATAACATTTGGTGGCAACTGTATGGGGATTCTCCAAAGTGGTGAGTAATATTGAACCACTTTTGCTTGCTATTCTGTCCTATCCTTCCTTAGAATTGGAGAAAAATAAGCTAGGCGTGATGGCTCACACCTGTAATCCCAGCACTTTGGGAGGCCGAGGCGAGAAGATCATGAGGTCAGGAGATCGAGACCATCCTGACTAACACGGTGAAACCCCATCTCTACTAAAACATACAAAAAAATTAGCTGGGTGTGGTGGTACATGCCTGTAATCCCAGCTACTCGGGGGGGCTGAGGCAAGAGAATCACCTGAACCCGGGAGGTGGAGCTTGCAGTGAGCCGAGATTGCACCTCCAGCCTGGGCAACAGAGGGAGACTCTGTCTCAAAAGAAAAAAAAAAAATTGGAGGAAAAT